GTTTCTGGTGTCAAACATGAGCCTCCAATAGCTAACGAGACTTCCGGTGCTTCTAATTCTAGCGTCAACTCGAATGACGTGAAGAAAGAGAGCGAAGATATGGTGACCTCAGAAGAGACCAAAAAGGAATCGGTTGCGTCTCCGGTGACCGCCAACGAGTCAACTGATGTGAAGCCTGAGGTGAAGCCGACGGTCCCCGTCTCGACATCCTTACAGACAACGCACAAACAGGTCGCCCGTCAGGTCCAGAAGAAGATCTTCAAACCCGACGAATTACGTCAGGCCTTAATGCCTACACTCGAGAAGCTCTACCGTCAGGACCCGGAGTCGCTTCCATTTAGACAACCCGTCGATCCAACACTTCTTCAGATTCCAGACTATTTTGATATAATTAGGCGACCGATGGATCTGTCGACCATTAAGAAGAAACTCGACACCGGTATGGCTGTCACTAACAACTAGTCTACTTATCTGTTGACTAAATTTATCACTTGATCACTGTTTAGGTCAATACCAGGACCCTTGGCAGTACGTGGACGATGTCTGGCTTATGTTCGACAACGCCTGGCTCTACAATAGGAAAACCTCTCGTGTCTACAGATACTGTACTAAAGTATGTAATATTGATAATATTTCCTTGTTATGAATATCACTTTATAATAATTTGTACTAAAATATTGACAATTGATTTCAGTTATCCGAAGTGTTTGAAGCAGAAATAGATCCCGTTATGCAAAGCTTAGGCTATTGTTGTGGTCGTAAATATGTATTTCAACCACAAATCCTTTGCTGTTTCGGCAAACAGTTGTGTACTATTCCTAGAGATGCAAAATATATGAGTTTTCAGAATAAGTATGTTTTTAATATATAGAGTTATGTAACAAATGGAAACTAATATAATGTACTGATATTTGCAGGTATACCTATTGTATGAAATGTTTTACTGATATTCCCGGAGAAGTGGTGACCGTTGGAGATGCCTTCGGACTCGACCCCACGTCGACCAGCTCTCAGACCATTCCTAAGGAGAAGTTCCAAGAAATGAAGAACGATCACTTGGATGTCGAGCCTTTCATTGACTGCAAAGATTGCTGTCGAAAACTACA